AAAGCCCTATGAAGCGGTATATAAGTCTAACTGCTATTGCTATTGCTATTGCTATCATTTTACCAACCTCAAAAGGATGGAAGGCTGAATCAATCTTGAGTCAGTGAGACTCGAACTGCCAAACTGCTGGCAACCAGCAGACAGCAGAAGTAGGCTGCAGTACTGCATTCTTACCACTGCACCACCACGGCTCTTAATATTAAGCTATAATATTTGTGTACAGTAGACACTTGCATTATGAAATAATAAACTGACTTCTGTTCCAATCTCTTTAAGAGACTTTTTCCCATTTGTAGTAGACATTGCCATCTTGTGCTATTCCTAGAGTATCTTTTTGCGTGTCCTGTTGTATCATATTGGTGTTATTCTGTTAAACTAAAATCCTGATTATGGCAAGTCTGCATTTCCTTCCTCTGCATTTATTCATTTGTTTCCAAAACACAGAGATTCTGTGTCTTAAAATCTAAAGTCAAAAAGAATGGAATATATTTTTCTTTCTTTTTATAAAGTTTGGTTTTGTTTATCTCTGATGGGATTGTTCTATCTCTCAAAAAGAAGACAATCTCTAGTGCCTAAGTTACATAGCCATGAGTTTTTAGTACATAAATTATTTCATCCTTTTACATTTTTATCAACAGAAAAGGAGTTTAAATTACAAGCATCTTGGCCAATAAACAGAGGCTCATGTGCTTCGGAAGTTGCAACAGGAAATACCATGTTGCTAAATCAGAGCAGAAGTCATGAAGACACAGAGGGTATTGGAGAAAAGAGGTCTGAAGTCTGCAGCTTTCCAAACTCTAGAATTGTTTGAGTTCCTAAAGGGAAGGCAGGATATAAACTAGCATCTATATACCTTAAAGCATGTATTACCAGTTTTGGCATATAAATAGTTGTGGTAATATGTGAATAGAGATAATAGCTTGAGCAAATTTCCCCAGGTTCCCCTAACATCATACTTAATACAGTACAGAAATTATTGTACAGATATTATTATAATCTCATTTGAAAATAGTTTGAAAATTTGAATATAGAGTCAAAACTAGTCTTAAATTATATTATCATATTTTGCCATGTGCACTAACTTTCAGTTCATTTAATTAAACTTTATAACTTTTTCATGCCATGTGACAAGGTTATGTGAAGACAAACTTTAGTAAAAACCTTATGCATAACCTTGTCACTTTATAATGTTTTAGTCTAACTCCCATAACCCCTTCCATTATCCATGTTGGTCTGGAACACCTGTAGCACCAGTTTGCTTATTCCTGAATTTTATTGTATTCTCCCAATGTTCTCATTAAATACAGCAAAGTACATGACATCCTACTTATGAAATAATTATTGTGGCCATTCCATAATTTGTAGGCCTATATTAAACTATAAATGAGAAAATTCATTTATGCTGCAATCCTGTAGTGTTTACTTTTAAAGCTGGATCTGAATGTGGACACCATTTGATCTCATCATATAAGACAAGTATAGTTAAAATCAATAAAACTCTGGCACTAGGGAAAGACCAAAGATTAACCTGACAAAATTATGTAGAGCAGCTTTTCCTACCAATATTGGCTCGATTTCCAACACGCCTTACAAGAACCAGATTGGCAAAAGTTGCCCTTTAGGGCAATTATTAAAGGCAGTATCATTTACACAGAGTTTCTGTTCATTTAAGATCTTTGGCTATAAAGCATTTTTCAAGACCAGGTTGTTAAATAGAATCTTTGCCAGTTCAGAGTCTCACAGGAGCCCAATAAATTTTAGAATTCAAATGTCAGTGTTAGGGAGCAACCATTAAGAAAATAAATGCATCATTCAACTGACATATGTTCACCTGGAAGTATGCATTCATTTCATTATGTAATAAAAATGGCAGAATATGCAGAATATTATTCCAAAATTTAAAATTTAAATAATTCAAACAAAAAACCTTTTTAGTAGACAATGCTATTACACCTGCTAATTTTTTTGCTGCAGATGTACGCACTGTTTCTGACCCCGCTGCTTATTAGGTAGGTATTTGTAAAATGGGGCAACCTGCTACGTAAGAAAGAAACTCCTAAATCAAGGCCAGTCACTGACTTGGTTGTCACTATTCATCCCATTAATAATCTTTTTTCAGAATTTCCCATATTATAGCAGTCACTTCCTTATTCCTACTTAGAAACCCTCATCCGTCCATGATTTACAGATCCTTTTAGCTGCTTTAAACCCAGCACACTGGCTTGCAAATACTTCTTCCATTCCCTGGTTCTGAAAAAGCCTGTACTACCTTGCGTTGATTCACACCAAGAATCTTTCATTAGTTGACACCTCTCAGTGAAAGTGGATTGGTCTACAAAAGGGTAGGATAGCAGGTGATATGAACTGAAACTGAATTAATGTTTGAGAATGGTACCAGTCTGATGTTCTCTTATCCTTCTTTGATTCTCACACTTCGTTTGTATGACTTCTGATTCCATGCTCATGTTTTGTATTTTCATATGTAATAAATCAAGGTATGAAACAGGATAACGATTCCTCCTTTATTTATTTATTTTTAAATGAAGATAAAAGAGAAAGTTTGGCGTAATGGTTAAGGCACCAGGTTAAAAACCAGGAAACTCTTTGTGTCCACCTGCCTTCAGCACAAAGCTGGGTGACCTTGGACCAAGCACTCTCTCAGACCAAGAAGGGGAAACAAAGTCTGAAATCTCACCAAGAAAATTGCAGGGACTAGTCTAGGCAATCTCCAGGAGTCAATAGTGGCTTGAAGGCACATTCAAACATAAAAGTTGGAGTGCGTATTTATGATCCATTGGTTGCTCTATAAATAAACATACCAATTACTTATGCCTAATATTCAGTTTATGGGGATGAAACAAAATTATGTTCTCACAGGCCAAAAATACCATGCTACAATTCTGTAACTTCAACCTGATTTGACTCTTGCACATACTGATTTGTTCCTGATTATTCAGTGTGCTGGGTCAAAAGCACAAAAACTTATTTACCAATGTCAGTAATTTTTTATTTAACTTGCTATTAGTGTATTAAATATAGCTTAGAAATTATTATTAAACACAATAGAATTACTAGAATAGAGTTATAATTTCCAAATAAGGGTCATTTTTTTCCCCAGCCTCCCTTTACACACTAGGTCTTTCTTTCAACTTTCCAGATTACATTTTGTTCTTCTGAAAATTAACCATCAGTAACTGAAAACTCCTCTGGCTTTTAGACGTGCTGCATTTGAAACATTGAGCTATTATGTTCTTCTTTCTTTATTAGCATGAGAGAGAACATTCAGGACATGTTCACAGACAGTATTAATATGTTTAAGACAAATACTGGCAGTGTCTAAATGCAATTCTGGCAGAGTTAAGTGCTCTGTATAGAAATTATACTGTCTGCTGAAAGAATTGCTTTGACTCTTTGTTGTTTTGCAGGTGATCCATATAACAGGAAGGTTACGACTAAGAGTGTCGCTGTCTCACGGGCGGACCGTCCCGAGCCAAATCATGGGACTTGTTGTCGTTGCTCATGCCCTGCCCCCTCCTACAATCAATGAAGTCCGAATTGACTGCCACATGTTTGTTATTCGAGTAAACATGGACCTCAATATTATTTACTGTGAAAATAGGTATTGCATTTGGGCTATTTTATTTTGTTCTTCCAGAATGCTCTGCTGAAATGTGGACTAGAGCATTTGTTTCATACGACAATAATTATAATGCAGATGTATGTGTTCCTCTGATCACTACGCAGAAAGTGAGAGCTTCATTTTGAGATTTGGAAAACTGAACTGGAATCTGATTGACTGATCGTTGCCTGGGGAGTTAACTAGAAAGAAAAATCACAATTTAAATGTCAGTTTTCTGACTGCAAAACTCCTCTGATACTCTTTGGATTAGCATTTCCCACAATGGAGTGCTAATACTCTGGAGAGTAGAGATGAGAGTGAATGAGGAAAATAAAGAATCTATTTCTCCCACCCTACAGTGTATGCAGCCTCTATTCAGACAAACATACTACTGTGTATAATTTCAGAGTTCCTCCTGAAGCAGACTAAATGTTGTCCTGAGAATCTTTTCCTTGGAGCCAACAGAATGTTTCTGGTATCTTTAATTTCCTCTGATTCAGTAATAAAACCATCCTCTGTTTCTGACTGCCACTCGTAGGAAGCGGCAGTGAGAAATATTAGTACTGATTGCAAATTTGGAAATGCCACGCTGTTTTTTCTTGTTCACAGCTCAGTTTAATTTTAAAAAATGGAAACAGGCAGGACAGAATGAGAATATGGATCTACTTCAGATGTTTTAAATTGAATTTAATCAGTTGCAAAATATTACTAAGTTTTTTTTCATACATGCTTTCTTTTATTTTCCCTATTAAAACCAAAAATTCTGGCAATAACAGTTTAGCCCAATAAATTCTACATCTGTTGGTTTACTGAACCTTTCAAGAAACAGCCTTAAGTCAGTGGATATGTATGTTTGATCATATTGATGAAAGCAGAAGTATTGTCCTTGAAAAAATAATCTGGTATATCAGAGTAATAGGAATGTCTTTAGTAAAAGCAAAAATTGTTTACGAATGAAGACAAATATAGATGTCACAGGATAATGTTGCAGGATCCAATCTGGGTCGGTCACCAGGATCAGAGGTACTTTCTTCTGAGCTTTCAGATTCCTGCTGGAACCCATCTTTAGGGAACTTCTCTCTAGTAGTGCGTGTGCTGTTCTACATGTGGTATTTATAGTGCCTGTTGTAAGTGGCTTTTTAGATGTTGATTGGGGTATGTTGATGCCTGGCTTTTAAATCATTAGCTGTTATTAGCTTGTGCTGCCCAGCCCTTGCCTTCTAAGTACTCGATAGGCTGGTGATAAATCAGCACTCCTGTTAACTAATGAGGGGCCTGATTCCTAGACTTCAGTCACTTCCCTGGCTGTTTTGTGCCTGCTTCTCCAACAATGTTGATAGCTTCAAAATTGAATGTGTGTCCTTGTTCATTGCAGTGTGAGGCTACCAATGAGTTTGGGTCTCCTCGTCTGACCGCTCGCTTGTGTTCTTGCAATCTGGTGGTTAGCTTCCTCCCCATCTGTCCTACATAGTCATGGGGACAATCCATGCAAGGGGATTCAGTAGATTACATTGGAAATATCTCCCACCTCCAAGCGATCTTCACAATGCATAATTTGTCCTCGTATGGTAGCCTCTAGCAGAGTGTGATGCCACATGCAGATCTCGGAAGCTGCGTTGTACAAGTTCTGCAATGTTTTTGATGTATAGCAGGGTATGCCATGTGGGTGTTCTTATTTCTTCCTTTCTCTCCCCACTGTGTTGCTCAGACATTTTGTGACAAATGATTGTGGGTACCCATTCTGCTTGAATTGTTCAGGTCAATACCTGCTCTCCAGCTGCTTGGCTTGCTGGGTACTACAGAGGGTTCTCACCCTGCCATATCATGTTCTGATGCAATTCTTTTTGTGTGAAATGGATGGTTGCTGCTGGAATTCAGAAAGTGTGGAATGTTGGTGACTTTGTGATAAACTGTGGTTCTTAGGCTCCCTTCCTTTTATCTATTGAGAAGTACATCTAAAAATGATAATTTAGATGTACTTGTCAACAGACAAGAGGATGGAAGCCTAGAAACTACAGTTTATTACAAGGCCACCAATGTAAGGATTTCCAACATAAAATGCATAAAACCTTTAAAACATATTTAGAAATCTCCAAATTAATCATTTTCCATTTCTTAGTAAAAATGCAAATCAGCTTTTAGCAAGGCGAGTTCCCTCTCTAAAGAGAGCCTGAAGTCAGTGAAATGAACTATTACCTTATTCTCATGACCAGCCGAATACAGTGAATACTTATTGAGGGAAAGAAGAGAAAGTTGTATCTTTGGTTCCAATCCCTGACCTACATGCATGTATTTGGTCATGTAAACGATTCTATGCATTCAAAATAGATACATATTTGGCACCTTTACCAATGGGCACAAGATCCATTCACTTGAGGAACAACAATCCTGCTCCCCTTTTTCTAATTCCCTATATATGTTATCTAAATACAAGTATAGTCTTTTCAGCATTCAACCTGTAAAAGTGTCATCTTGCCTTAAAAAGATTCAATGCAGCCATTTATGAATGGCTTTTCTACATGCTTGCAACAGATCAGATAATGGCTGTGCTGAAAACAGATGAGCAGTGAATCAGCAGAACTCAGTGTAATGAATGAAATCACATGCTCAGGAGCTCTATTTATAATGAATTGTCTGTGTTATCATATCAATCTTCAACTGGTTCAGTTAAGTGCACAGAGTCACAATGCCTTAACACAGTAGAATCTAAATTAATATATTAATCACATGCAAGAATATCCCGAATTCATGTACTAGAATTATGACCATCATCTTTATAGGCATGATGAAAAGTATGTATATCATATAAATATATAATACAATATCACAGTATTTCAACACAGCCCTTCTCACCTAGAAAACTGTTATTTAGTTAACAAGAAGAGAAGAAAATGTGTGCAATAGCAGTTCTTCTTTTAGATAAAGGACTCCTTTGAGACACCCATCTTAGAAAAATGCATCTAAACACATACGTACAAGATTGATTTCTTTATACCACACTTGAAAACACACAACTTTCTCACCCACTTAACATCAAGTATTATTATTAAACCATATTATAATAGCCAGTCTTTATGAATGCAATTATAGTCAATACTTGGAAAAATTAAATTGGCATCTTAAAATTAAGTCTGATTTGGTGAAAACAAAGACAGATATTCCTAGTCATAATGATAGTACACATTTTCCTTAATTCCTACCCTATTTCCCCAAAATAAGACCTCCACTATAATAAGCCCAATTGGGCTTTCGAGCACATGTACTAAAATAAGACCTCCCCCCAAAATAACCCCTCCCTGAAAATATTGCAACACAGCAGCAACCATGAGGTGACCACACTCACCGCTCCTGCACCTCAAAAATAATAAGACCTCCTCGAAAATAAGGCCAACAGCTTATTTCGGGAGTCAAAAGAAAACAAGACCCTGCCTTATTTTCAGGGAAACATGATATCAACTTTAATTCCTATCATCAGTTCTTCTAGAGGTCCTAACACCACAAAGATGTCCATTTTTTTGCTTGCCAATGAACAGTATTTTGCCTATACTTGTTTGGGGATAAGCAGTTTCTAAAATCATTATTTGATATTTTTTCCCCCTCAGAATTTTCAAGTAATAGGAAGGAAACTGAAGAAAAACCCATCTTTTGTACTTGATTTGTCAGACCACTGAAATCTATCCTTGGAACCCGTATTTAGAGACCACAGGTTAAAAAACTTTGTATGTAGTAGGTCCTGCCGCTTTTCCATAATACAGGGAATAAAATGGAGGTATAGCCTACCTAGATATTATGCAGATTGTTCCCAACTTCTAATCCTTTACATCGGTCTCTCCCCATTAGCAACATCTCCATTTTATCATTAGTCCCAAAATGGGGGGGGGGAGTCTATTTATCTAATTTGGAGGAAAAAACTAGCAATAGCACATTTTTTTATTTTTCTTGAGGAGAGAGGGAACCTGACAGGCGGCTTCCTAATTTGCTATATTTTTTAAAAATCAAATTAAGTTCTTATTATCTCTCAGAGTGACTCTGGAGACTAGCTCCATGCCATCCCTCGGAGTGGGATGAACCCTACATGTACTCCAATAACTCCAATTCATCCCCAGTATTTCCCATCTGCAACTCAAGAACAAACTTGCAAAGAATTTTCTCAGAACCTGGGTGACAAAAGGTCCTCATATAGTCCCAATACATTTTGTGAGCGTTAGAACATCATTTTAAAAACATAACGAAGAGTTACATCTTCCAAACAAAAGGAAGAACCCAGCTGACCAGGCTAATTCGCCCTTCCAATTTTCAATTTGAGAGGATTTTTTTTAACACACATGCCTGAGGACATTGACATCTGGACAATCAATAAGAGGAACTCACATACAGAGAGAAGCAGAGCAGAGCATAGAGCAGGAAAGGCTACTGAAAGGATTTTAAAGTTTCTGCACAGTGTAAACCACAAAGTCCCAGTTAAAAGAGCTAGGAGTGAAAGCAGAGCTCCCAGCTGAATAAGACTAAAAAAGATAACACCCTCAGGCATCTGTATGTCTCAGCATTTAAATTATATTGCTTGAAATGTCAGTTTGGACTCTGTGCCAGAAAACAGTTGAAGAGTTTTTTTTCATGAAAATGCTCAATAGAGGACCAATCTGCTGAAATGAAAGATGCCTCTAATCATTTTGCATAAGCATAACATGTTCTTATGTTATTGTATAACCTTGAATTATCTTGCTCTTTTAATGAGGAGCTTTGTATTTTAAGGAATTCTTCTTATCTTTGTGGATGTTGTTAAATATGGACCTATAGATAATTTGGGATTGCATTTGTTAAAACAAATGGATTGACTTCAGCAGAGGGAGGGAGGGAGGGAATCTTAGCTTGAGTTGGGTTTTATTACAGACGTGTTTATTTGAGAACAAAGGAAGCCAACTGGCCTAAGATGCTAGAGTAGAATTACTGGCTAATTTTGGGCCAGTCATTCTCTCTCAGTCTTAGGAAGTAAACACAACCAAATAAAAAGAGCATTAAACCACTTCTGAAAATGCTTCTAAAAAAACTGGATTGTTCTAAAACAGCTACAACTTGTCCATATAATCACCAATAATCAAAACGTACTCACATACATGCATACACACACTCACACATAAAAGAAAACAAATAGCAAGAATACTACAGATTGGCTACAGGCAGGTGTGGGTTCCTGCCAGTTCTAACCTCTTCTATAGAAGAGGTTCCACAAATCTACTGTGCCATTTAGAACAGGTTCCAGCTCCCTCCCCTCGCCCGTCTGCACCACGCTTGCCCTGCCCACCACTCACTGATTGGCTGGATCACCAATAGCCCCGCCTGCCTCTAAGAGTCCTATCTAAATCTTAAAGCTGTCAAGTTTGAACGTCTCTGGAGTATTTTTGTAAAGGGTTAGGGGTGCAAGGGTCTTGTAACTTGACAGCTTTAAGACTTGCACACTTCAATGCCAGAGTTCCTGAACCAACATTTTGGTTGTTAAGCAAGAGCGTTGTTAAGTGAGTTTCACCACATTTTACATTGGCTACACCCATCCAGTCACATGACTGCCAAGCCACTCCCACTCAGTCACATGGCCGGCAAGCCACTCCCACAAAGCAGGCCACACCTACAGAAGAGGTTCTAAAAAAATCCACCACTGGCTACAGGTCTCTCTTTTTAGAATTAAATTTAGGGTTTTATTCTTGGTAGATAAAACTAAATTATGGGTTGGGGTTAATTCTACCTTCTGAGGCAACACAACAAAATAATATAAAATTGTGATAAAAAGGATGGTTTTGAGGATAGATATACAAATTTGAGATCAAAATGGAAAGCATTTCATTGTTGTTGTATTTTCTTCCATTCTCGATTTATAGGCTTTATTTTTCCTTTACAGGATTAGCGATTACATGGATCTGACCCCTGTAGATATTGTAGGGAAAAGATGTTACCACTTCATTCATGCTGAAGATGTGGAAGGGATCAGGCACAGTCATTTAGACCGTAAGTACTCTGTTCTTATAAAAAATACCACTTTACTGTTACAATGTGCAACTGAACTAATTCTTGTATTTCAATCTGTGGACCTCTGTATTCTCTCTTTGCCTTTATTTCCAGATGATTCAGTTATAACATCCATATTTTCCTCTGTCACTAAAGGCAATTAGTGAATGTTCAAATGTAAGCCATGATAAGTTCAAATCAAACTGTAACTGTGATCACACACAACGTGGAGAGATTGTTTTTGCGCATGAGAAGTTTTGAAATAAAAATTGAAGTCAGGACAGCCATCTGTTCATGTGACATAGCATAACATAAATAAAGCAATTAATTGTATTGACATGTTAAAAGTTACATTAATGGGGGATAGACCCAAAACCCATTGTGGTTAGAGGAGGTCAACAGAATAAAATAATATTGTCCTATCTAAGGATGGAAAGAGTGCAGCAAAATTGTCCCCAGTTTTGTCCAGCTATCATTAGGAAGCAAATACTTTTGCCTTGATACGATCTTCAATTATCCATTATGCAAACTGGTCACTGAGGAAAGAAAGAACTACTGCAATTGTTAAGCATGGGAAACATAGCATTATTTTTTTACCGATTAAAGTCTTCCACTAAGCCCAGATCTTTCTCCCTGAAATCTTGAAAGCTTGTTAGATAAGGTTAACTCTGCCATGTAGACCAATTTCCTAACAAATATTATGATCTGTTAGAAACAAGAAATACTTAAGAAATATGAAAGCATGATTCCATTAGGAAAGGCAATTTTGCCAATGTAATAAGTATCTTCCTTAAAAAAAAAACAATTCAGCAATTTCCTATTTTGAAAAGAACCCTTAGTCACAAACTTTGTTGAATCTGTTTGAGTATAGTTTAATCGTGCACTCTGAAACTTGTTGCTGAAAAGTTTATCCAATTCTGCCAAAGTAAAAAAAATCATTGCTGACTCTGGGAAATAGAAAGACTTCAATTCAGCTTCTGAATTCAGCAAAACAAAAGATTTTCAGAATTGTCAAATCAGAGTCTGAATCAATGATGTGTGTATATATACTTAAAGGATTTTAATGGAATTTAGATTTATTATTGGAATTGATAACCCCTGCTTCCAACCAGCCTACTTAACAGCTAATTATCTTCGTTAATACCTGTAATACTTCCTAATCAATTTTTCATCAGAAACAATATTTAATAAATAAATAAATGACCATTGGTTTTTTAGCATTAGAAGAATTTCTCATAATTTTAGTACTTTGAGACCTATCCTGTTTCTCTTACTTGACCATGTTCAAGTTAAACCTTTTCTTGCTGTTTTATTTAATGGTCTGTGTTTTTACATTCCACACTGAATTATGAGGTTATAACTATGACTACATCATAGTTCTCTACGACTGTATTACAATGCTCTGTTTACATTAAACCCCTTTCGTGATGCTTTCTATCAGAGTATTAAGGTACCATTTTCCATACATTTTCTGTATTTTTAAAAGCCCATTCTCCAGTTTTTGCAGCCAACAATCTTGCCTCCATTTCTTTCTAACCTTTCTTATATTTATGCTCGTATTTCTATTTCTATATTTTATTTATTTATTTCCTTTATTTATCTAAACAACCCCTGTCTTGAGATATTCGATGGCAAAACAGCAAAACAAGGAAATAATAAGAACAATAAAATACACATATAACATTGGTACATATAACATTGGTAACTTCTCCTTTAGGAATGAACAACATGCATTACCTTCACCAGCCGCCTTCACCTTCCATCCATTTGCCAAAAATACATGTTCCTTGCTCGTGGTCATTTTCACAAAACTTTTTCTATCTCTAGCAATGCACTGTAATGCTCCACTATCAACAACCCACAAGTCATGGTTTACTGGTGCATTGCTAGACATAGCCAAAGTAGACATAGCTAAGTTGACAGTAGCATTCTTCCGGCATTCTGTTGTTTTGCCCTTTTACAGAACCTAGCTATATGTCCCTTAGCCCCACAAGAAAAACATTTTGAACAGTATAGGCAGTAGAAGGTGACTCCTCATGTTGTGGTGGTTTCTCTCTCAGTTGTTCCCTCTCCATCCTTCTTCTTGACTCTTCCAATAGTATAGGCAGTAGAAGGTGACTCCTCATGTTGTGGTGGTTTCTCTCTCAGTTGTTCCCTCTCCATCCTTCTTCTTGACTCTTCCAATAGTCGTGCAGTAATGTCAGTCAACATTAAAGGGTAGAAATCTAACATCATTTTCCCCAGCGGTCTGTCTACTTGCCTCTGCAGCTAGAAAGAAGGGTGGGTGGAAAGGAAATTGGGTGTCAGGGACGAAGGTCCCAGAAGGATCTGTGGATTTGGAGGATCCTCTGCAGCCTCCTCCCCCCCCTCAATTCAGCTCAAAGGAAATGTAAATCAGCCTTTAACATCGTCTAAATTAATTCCTTCCTTTTGCAAGCAATGGAAGGACTCATCTGCTTGCTCCTTATTATTTTCTCAGGCTGACATGGGCTGTGCTCCAAAATAAGGCTATGCGTTTACAGAAAAAAGCCTCAGCAGTTGTATTATCTAGAAATTCTGGGATTTGTAATGCAATACATCATAAGGATAACAATTTGAGAAAGAAAAATACCCATTAGTTCAGAAAGCCTATAAAATAGTTAGCTGGATGGTATCTGTCTATCTTTCTGTCTATCTCATCTTTTAATAGTGTCTCTTACTAAAGGTTGACAATAATCAACATTATTTGTTCTTTTCCTGTTATTGTCTGAAAAAAAGACATTCTATTTTTGCTGAACTGTATATTTACATTTTTTTAGCCAGTACATGCATTATCTTCCATCTCTGCATTTGTTTTAAATCTTATAATTAATTGAAGCAATTTATATTTCTCATTGCTTGTCATATGTTCCCAATATTCATTTTCTTGGTAATATTTATAAATTTTCTATCTTTGTCTATTGGATGGTAAATGGTCTCATTTCCTATATATTTAGTACATAAAGTTTTCAGTAATTGTCTTTAAATCTGTGTTTTAAATGCTTATATTATGCTGATGGTCATATACTTTCATTGTTCATCTTCTATTCTGTGTACTGTAACTGGCAAAGCCCTAGCAACATACAATCTGCCAGTGAAGCTCCATCTTAAATCCTGAGTGTAAATAAATGTGCTTATTTTTTCAAAGAAGTGATAGCATAGCTTTAACAATTGCAGTATTAATTATTGCTTGATGTATGATTTTCCAGATGCCTACGTATACATACAGCTACTTATGATGGAACGTAAATGTTTTGCTAAGCCTTTGAGACATTTCACTAATATAATTTGTATGTTCCTAGCACCACATTTATCTGTCCAAATAGTAGAATTGGTTTGCATTCAATTCTTCCTGATATAACAGAGGTTGTGCATGTCACTGTTGTTTCATTTCAATAATAAGAGCTCCCACTGGATAATCATAAATAAATTGGGATTTACTTTGAAGTAAGCTGTTTGAAGACTGGGGCCTTATCATCCACTCCATGTAAAGAGTCCACTTAAACTTCCTTTTAATTCTGCACACCAATTATCAGTAAAAGAGGGGAAAAAAGTAATAAACATATTTCTTTCCATTAATATATGAAAAAAACTATTCTAACCCTATTTGGGTATTGGGTGACATTGTTGCCTTGTTTTGATTTAGCAAGTCCATTTACTACTCAAAAAATAAAAGGTTGTCACATAATATAGAAGCATATATCTCCTCAATTAATTGAAAAAAAAATAGTAACATTCACTGAAGAATAACCAAACATTTTCTGACTGGAAATCCAAGCAGGACGTAGAGGAGTTAAGACCTCTAGAGAATGTCATGAATATACTTCTGGACAAATATAGGATGATATACCAGGATTTTCAAAATGGATATATATTGCTTTTGGGAACTGTCACTCGATTGTGTAGCTACAGATATAGCATGTGCTTTTTCATTTTGGAATCTTAATTGAGGTCTAAATTCATAAACCTGACACTGACAAAAAGATGCTTGTCACCCTCAGCTATTGCTCAGAAAACGTCATCCCATTTCTTCTGGACTTGATTTACAGCCATAAGAAATACAATTCCTTAAGAACAGCAGCCTGAGCAGTTTGTTTTCCATAAAGCAAAGGTCTCTGATGACTACATTTGGGAGCATTCTCTCTTATATGCTCTAATTTAGTTTCCAATAGCTGAAACAATCCAGATTTTTTTTTTAAAAAAAGCGGCTTTACTATCACTTTATTCATGCTGCTTCCCATTTTCAAAAGAATTTTGCTCTTCAATATTGAGACTCCCCCCCCCCTCTGCAGTCAGTTACAAATGCACAATGGCTTTTGTGTACATTCATTTGAAAATTTCTATTCAGTTATTACTGTTTGCTGGTTCAATTTCCAAGATAAAAAACCAGTCTTTTTAAGTTATACCTCTGTGCGTGTATAGATACAGGAATGGACGCTCACAGATACACACATTTAAATGAATGTGTATCTTTTAATAATCTTACATTTACTATTTGAAATAGATGGAATAGCTGATCATTCTCAATGGCAAAATCTCACTTCACAAGTTTTGCTTATCATAATAGGGAAAAATTACATAAAGTCAAGTAGCACATAATTAGTAAAACTGTAGGGAGAAAAACAAAGCCTTTTGATACAGAGGAATTCTAATCCTAATCAGTCTGAAATTTCTGTGCTTTTGTAGTGCTTAATATCCTCAATCATAAAAGAAATCAAACTTATTCTAGTCAAGGTATAGCATTCTGTGAAATGCTAAAATATACAAATGAATGTCAACTGTTGTACAAGTTGATGATAATCACCAAAGCAAAAGAGATTGCTTTGATATTATTTGATACTGTGCCTTGTGTTTAGATGGTGTTTGAACATGCTAATAGCAATAGCAATAGCAATAGCAGTAGACTTATATACCGCTTCATAGGGCTTTCAGCCCTCTCTAAGCGGTTTACAGAGAGTCAGCATATTG